AGAGAGAGAGAGAGAGAGAGAGAGAGAGAGAGAGAGAGAGAGAGAGAGAGAGAGAGAGAGAGAGAGAGCTTACCCGTGAGAGAGGATTCTTGAGATGTCAAACAAAATGTCTGTGAACATGCCTTCATTTCAGGTCTCTCTCTCTCAGACCCCGAGGTGATCGCCGGATTTAAACTGACCTCACATCTGTTGCAACATAAACTCCACTGATGTAAGTACTCCAAAGTCTCTTAAACCTGCGTTCTCTCTATTGACCACCAGGGGGCGACTCCTCTGGTTGTATAGAAGTCTATGAGAAAATGACTCTACTTCTCTCTTGATTTATTACCTCAGTAAACATTGTAAACATGAGTTTATGGTCTCAATCTCTAGTTTCAAGTCTTCTTCAATACAGCATGATGTTCATTTAGTACATTATGGTCCATTTAGAGTCAAACAGACCATAAAGCAGGGGATGCTCTAGGGCGGGGCTACACAGTGATTGACAGGTCTCTACCAGAGAAGTATATGGCGTCTCTATGTCACTCCTCAGTCCAGATATGGTCACTTCTGTTAATTGGTTTGCGAAAAAAACAAGATGGCAAAGGCCGTTATCCAAGATGGCGACGGTGAAATCGCCGAACTCGAGGCTTCAAAACGGCAGAACACAAACCAACATTTTCCAAGAGAAGTTAATCCTTCAAAATGAAAATCACACCTTTTTAATCGTGATCTTATCTCAGCGGGTAGTACACATAAAAGAAGCAATACTAGCTCCTCTGGCATGTTTTAATTTAATTGTATGTAACCTTGCGTCATTTCTTTCAGTCTTTATGTTATATAGAATGACAAAGGGAAACACATGTGGGAAATAAGAGTGTTTGCCATCAGATTATTTTAAATTTTCTTACTTTAATCAAAAATGTGTGTATTTTAAACATGGGTTCAAAAGAAAAGAACACATTCAGAGAAATGCTTTCCAGTGTGATCAGTCGGATTATTAAACTACAGTATATATGGTACATGTACATGTTTGTGTCGTATATCCATGTAAGTACATGTAAGTACACTCAGGGAGCATTTATACTCTTTGTTAGATTCTGTTAAATAAATGTCTGTTTGTGGCTGTTGAGAGTGAGAAAAAGTGATTTTAGAAAAGCCTCAATTGTTTCTCTCTTTCAGTCTAATAAGTATTTACTTAAAGTTCTGTCAGTGACTTTGTCTTTCTGTCACACACACACACACATACACACACACACACACACACACTCGGTAAGGACCCAGAGGGTGAAAGAGATGCAGAGAGCAGACAAGGTCGTAGTTCCTGTGGACTGTCTTTGAAAGAGGAGTCGTATGTTTTCCCTCTCCTCCTTTGATGTTAAAGCAGCCTCTTTACTAGTGTAAAGACAGGCCACAATAACCTGGACACACACACACACACACACACACACACCTCACAAAGCTCTGCGGGTAGACAGGTAGCCCACAGCAACCCCAGCCAGAAATCAGAATGAATGTGGCAGCTGTCCAGGACCTGAGCAGCATGCTGTGTGTGTGTACTGTGTGTGTATGTGTTTTTATTGTGTGTCTTAGTGTGTGTGTATGTGTGTGTGTGTATGCTTTCAACAAAATATAAAATGATGAATAAGAATAGAATGAATATTTTAAAATCACAAGTGATCCTAATATCACTGTTTTAACGTACTGCTAACTAAATACATGTGCTATATTTATATGTGCTACTGTCCAGGGCTGAACAATTTAATCAAATGTCAATTGCGATAACTATTTTTAGCTTCCCACAATTAAATTAAACATGAGCAACTGCACTATTGTCCTTTAAAAATGCGGCTCCCCCTCACGGAAAACGATCAAATCAAGTGCTCAAACTGACATCCGGCCACCAGGGGGCGATCAAGATGGTTTTAGAGGAGCTGTACGCATCAACCCTACAGTAGAAAATACTCTGAAGAACAACCTTGAGTCTTATTTTGATGCAAAGATTTGTTAGTCAGCAGGATTGTTGGAAGTGAAAGCAGTTACTTTGGGTAAAAAGTTTTTAAGTTTCACAGATTTTCTGTCACGTGACTGTTAGTCTCAGATGAATCAATCATGGCTTCATAGTTGCGCTAAAGAGCTCAGAATTAAATGATTTTTACAGAATCTGGGTAAAGCTAAATATTTATTCGGGGCGAGGTTCTAAATGAGACATGTAGAATAAAATGTTTTTAATGAAATATCACCACTTTAAGCTTTGTTTTGGCTGCTTTTTCTGACGGAAGCGTTCGTAGTCGCACTCAATGTGTTCAAGGACCGTCGGAAAGATGAAAATCTGACAATAATGATGGGTTTTACAGCAGGATAAACGCTGTAGTTTTGACTGTTGTTTAAAGCAAACATGCTTTTGAGGTTTTAAGGTTCAGAGGGTTAACATGCTGATGTTTAGGATGTGTAGAAGACTGACGGCCGCTGGAGATGAACCGATCTTCTGTTACCTTTTGTACACATCAAGAACACCCGGCCCTCAAATACAAATGTGGCCTCAGGGCTCATGGAGACACACACACACACACACACACTATTCCTGTCCAACACATTCGCTCCTTTATTTCCTGTATCTATGTCAGCCCCCTTGTTTCTTCTGTTTCACATTAAATTCCCCACAAGGTCTCAAGAACTTTGTCAGTTCGCCAGACTGGCAAAAAACAGCTGACTGAAATGAGGTTTTCTCTCCAAAAAGGGCTGACTTCCTCTTAAAAAGCTGGTTATGAGAGGATAAAAGAATCCTCTTATGTCAGCCGTTGCTAGCCCCAGCGCTTCCATCACACCCGGTGTTATCTGTCCGTAATTTTTGTTGGGACTTGTAGTTTTGGAGTTTGAGTGGCAAAATGAGATTTATGTTTTCTTTCCTCCCCTCCACATCACGAGGTGCAAGAGGGGAAAAGATGAGAAAGACACAGACAGAGAAATAAAACATCACCATAAACTCCTCTTCCACTCATGCTGCTGTTTGCAGTCCTTCACACGTCGGATGTAACTCACACGGTGGAATATCCGAGGCTGCTGCTCCATAATACATTTAATCGGTTAAAGATGAGGTTTTCTTTGTGGTACGTCATGTTTTTTGCAGAATCTGACAAACAGACTTGCTTTAACGTACTCTTAATTTGTTCGTTTGTTTATCATATAAAAGTGCCTGAAGCTTGTCGTCTCTCCAGTTAGACATGTTCTATCTCTTTCACCCTCTGATGTTTGTATTCGTTTGTATTCGGACAGTTGTGGTTGTGGTATTACTTGTAATAGTTGAGTACAAGTGGTGATAGCAGTTGTAATTGATATTTCACTGATTCCACAGAAGGAAATTCTTCTTTATCACTGAAGTGGTTCAATAACAGACGGAACAATAACACCTACAAAAACAACATTGGATACTTGAGGGGAGCAGAAGTTAACCGACTGGGGAACAAAGTGTAATAAAGACGGACGGGTAGCCGGCGGGTCCTGATGGGAGGAATGCTGCCGGCTTTGTCTTCGCTGTCAGCTCCAAAGTGTGCCTCCGTCACTGCTCACCTGTGACGTGTGAGTGAAGGTGACCTCGTCTCAGAGTCAGTCTGTCCGTCCTTCTGCTGCATTGTTTTTTATTATGAGACGATTAGTCGTCGTTTTGGTCTCAGTTCTTTAGTCGATTAGTCATTTTGTATGCTTTTTAATGCTGAATTGCTGATTTCTAACTTGTGAGCACATCTCTGGTATGTAAAGTGGTGCTTTTGTGTGATTTCTTTATGGAGACATTTAGTTTTACAGATCTGTCGGTTAAATAAACTAATTTCTTTGGCTTAGGACGGACCTCGTTTTTTAAAAACTGTTCTTTGGTCAAAATGTGCATTCATACCTGTAGAGTAACCGCTGCTGTTAATCCACTAGTAATACAGGTATAACAGGCACAGGAAGTGGTACTACAACTACAAATACAAGTACTACTAATGCTACTTTTACTGCTAATGTGACTCTGCTGCTACTACCCTGATGACTGTTACTACCACTATGGGAAAATAACATTTGATTTACATTTTTTTGACTCCCTGACAAAGGCTTGATGCCAAAACACGTTTAAAAGAGAAGGCCTTGGTAGTTTTCTTGTGATTTGCCCGTCAACATGAATCTTTATCCAAAGAGCGCTTCAAACAAACTCTACTAAGTCCAGGAAGTGCTCCTACCCAACCTAACCTAACGCTGAGTTACAAGTTAATTAATGATTACAGCAAAAATGAAATGGGGAAAAAGCTACTTTTTTTGTTCCACTAGTTCTGATCAGGTTCGTTGACATTGCCAATGCTGACTAATGTCATTATGTTGTCATTTGATGATGTTTTCACCGTACACCATTAACCCTTACTGGACTTCTTAAAGGGATATTGCCTTGTCGTGCTTTGTCATCTCTGCTATAAAGAGGGGAAAGTCCCGCCTGTCCTGAATTTGTCTGACGAATTTGCCGTCGGCCTTTAACGACAGAAGTTCCCAAAGCTCGTCGACATTTCCATCGGCGTCCTCATGAATGTTTGTATTTTTATGGTTTCGCTTGTTGAGAATCAACAAGCTCATTGATCCCACTGATCAATGAGCAACTTTGCCATTTATGCCACAATAAAAGCATTATTTAAAAAATTTTCAAAAGATTTTAGAGAACGCCCAAAATTCTGCTGTTGAGGCTGTCAGGGGATCTCAAGTCTCAATCAAGGGGTCTCGGACCCCCCCCACTGGTCCTGCCCCGTCCGTTAGACCACCATGGAACTTTATTCTGGAAAAAATATGCATGGAAGTCAATGGTGAGAGACAAATGTTTTTTTAATCCCATTTTGAATTGTGCGATGAATTACACATATTATGTTTGTCCATTTAAAAGACATGTTTGCATGTCAAAAAAGTCGCAGTTTGACATAAAACTGTTAAAAATACGTTCTTAGCTTTAAGTGACGTCTCTCTCTGAAGCTACGATGTTTCTTACCACGATGTTCTCACACCAACAACAAGTCTCACTCGTTGTTTCTCTTCCCGGTGGATTAAAAAGAGCCGCTGGATGAAACCCATCAGGTACGATAACGTCACGTTTGTGCGTGGAACATGGATAAGTTGGTTAACGGCCATGTTGGTGTTGGTGACGCACATTGTGAGAGACTAGTGATGAAGTTCACTGGTGAATAGTTCTACAGCAAACGTAGACTTTCCTTACTTGCAAAATGATCTTTTAAATTGACAAACATCACATGAATAAGTCATAGCTTAATTCAAACAGGATTTAAAAAACATTTGTCTCTCACTGTTGCCTATCGCACATATTCCTTCACAGGAAGGGGCGGGACTTCACCTCACTATAGAAAAGTGTGTACCTGGTCAGGTAGTGACTGTGACCACGCGTGCCTTCATGCATACTTTGTTTGACCCTCAGACCTGTTTATGTCAATCTATTGTGTCGTCTCGTTGAGATATGCATCTGTTGTATTTCTCTTGATCCTGAATCACGTCCGTCCTTACAGACTCGGGTTTCACTCCTCGTCAGTCAGATGGCGTTCTGCCTGGCTGAGCTGCACTTGTGGTCCACCAAGAGCTCACTCCAAGTCAAAGGTAGCACTTCTCCCATGTTCTCCTCCTCGTCTCCCTCTTTCTTTTCTTCTTCTTCCTCTCACCTCTCCGTCTTGCTCTGGCTCTCTCTGTCATCACTCACTTTGTTTTCACACCTTCTCCTCCCCTCCTCACCTTATATCTACTTTAACAACCTGGCATCTCAGTCAGCACCAATGCTCACTCTGTCTCTGCTCTTCAAATTCTCATGCTATTGATGTTTATTTTACATTGTTTGGAGGGTAATTGGTTCACATAACCACACAAGACCATACACTAGTTTCTTTGTAAATAATTGTATTTATTCTATTTCAATCCTATAATTCTTATAATCATAATTCTTCTTTTGTGTAACCCATTTAGTTTTAACGTTGTACTGTTGATGAATTGTTGAGATTTTTCGTATTTTACTGGTCAAAACGATAAAGATAGAAGCTAAAAACTACAGATCACAGTGTAAAAGTGACAGAAGACAATGAAACACTGTTCCTCTTTATTCACTGTTACAATCATTAAAGCACATTCAGTATACCTTCAGTAGCTAGCGTAGCGTAGACGCACTAACGCTAGATAATGACGTGCTAACGTACTTGGCTAATGTTAGCTCCACAGGTTTTTACGTAGAAACGTAACAGGCTCGTTCGAGTTGAACTGCGCGTCGCCTGGAAAGCAGACGAGAGCAGGCGGACGTAGAAAGGGGCGTTGACAAAAAAACTGCGTTCAAGTCGGACCGTTTTCAGCCGCCTGCTTCTTCTTCTTCTTCTTTTTCTTTTGCTTTGTTTGGCGGTTGGCAAACAGCTTTCGGGTGCATGACCGCCTCCCACTGATCTGGAGTGTGGACTAAGGACTCTAATACCACAACCGAACGAAAAGAAATACATATACATATATACACACACATACATATACATATGTGTGTAAATTAATAAAGATATGTATATAAATAAATATATATATATATATATATACATATAGAAAAAATAAATAATAATACATTTCTTTCTCAAATTCTATTCATTATTGTTGTTGACTCTAAATATTCCAGAAAAAGTTTCCAACATTTGTCACTAAAGCTTTCCTCTCCAATCTCTCTTAGACCTTTTTTCAAAACTTCTCTCTCTGACAGGACAATAAAACATGGTCCACAGTTTCTTCTTTTCCACAAAATTTACACTTTCCATTATTATGCTTTCTAATAACAGAGGGAACTGTTCAGTCAGTCTTCAATCAGAGGAGCGGCGGTTCGATCCCCGGCTCCGCTAGGAGCATGTCGATGTGTCCTTGAGCAAGACACTTAAGTCCAAAATTGCTGGTCTTTAAGTTTGGATGTCTTTTCATATATTTAACTATGTTATTATTATAATTGAGGATATAAGATTGGGCATATTTTAGTTCTTGGATGTCATTTTATTTAAACATTTATATAAATAAATATATGTGAAGATAGCGTCATTTCTAAATCATACAACCGTAAATTTAAGAAATTTAAAAACTGAACCAACTGTCCAAACATCGCAGCTACATAAACAGGCTCCACATGGAGGAAAAGCAACGCTGCAAGTTTCCATCAGTGACAATTGTGCTTTTCTATTAATACGTGTTGTGATGCTTCACAATCATTAATCGATGGACACATTCCAGTGCTCTGACTGAAAACATGTTGACATCAAGTAGGATGTAGGCTTTCTCAATAAATATCTTTATTTACAGATGCTAAATAAATAACCTTATATATTATTATTGTTATTGCACAAAATGAGACTAGATGGCTATTAAGCCAACAATCTAGCGTTAAGTATTACAATTAGACAGAAAATTAGGATTTACATTTTTTACACTATATTTATCCTGTTAATTAAGGATAAATTTGTCTCTGCATTAGACCCATCCCTATATATGGGGAGCAGTGGGCTGTCTTTGACATGCGACACATCAAAGGCCATGGTTCGAACAACCAACCTTGTAGTCACCAGACAATCCTCTTAACAAAGTGAGCCATGGTCGCCCACCTTTTCCACTAAAGAAAATCTAAGAGCCAATCAGCTCTTTGATCCGAAGACAGCAAGAAGTTTCCCATCATGCCCTGGGGTCACGCAGTCAGTGGAGAGCAACTGCAGCGCCTGGCTCTAAAATCTGCGGCCGCCTCGCTCACGTGAGATCATCGTTACGCACGTTTTCATGACGTCAGAGCAAGTCGGACGCAAATCTACCCAGCATGCATTGTGCGGCGATCGCCGGTGATCGATTCTGCGCACGCCTGGCTCAAGTCGAACGAGCCTAATGTTTTAGAAACGTGTATCTCCTCCCAACCTCTCCGGGTAACGAGTATCACTGTCACACAACGTTTAACAATGATGAGCTCCGGGCTTACAGTGATTGACAGGTCTTTGCCAGAGACGTAGACGGCGTCTCTACGTCACTCCTCCTCATTTTATATACGGTCACTTCCTGTTCATTGCCTGCGAAAAACAACAAGATGGCGATGGCGAAATCGCTGAACTCGAGGCTTCAAAATGGCGGAACACAAACCAACGAGTGACGTCACGATGACTTCGTCCACTTCTCATGTACAGTCTGTGATTGCAGCACGTTTAGCGAATGCCGTCTGCAGCATTTAAATTTAAAAACCTGTTTACCCCATCGGTCACTTTAACTCAGAAATATGAGGAAATAGGGTTGAAAAATACCAAAGTTACCCTTCAAAGAAAATATATCAGTAAACAGTGATCAGTGCATGTTAAGTTATAGCTGCACATCACACCATCTCCATCATGCATTCAATAAGAAACTAAAGTTAAAACAATGCTTCCTCTGTGGGGCCGAGTGGGCGGGGCTTAAGTTTGACTTTTCTTGCACTTTCGTGTGTTTTTTCCTGCTCGCCACCTATCAGTCCATCTCTTGTCAGAAGGAAATGCTCTGTTTCTCCATTTTCTTGTTTTCTCCTCCCTTCCATTCTGTCTTGTCTTTCACAGTCTGCTGAGCTGCAGACGAAGATAGTGTCTCTCGGAGGCTGACTGTGTGTGTGTGTGTGTGTGTGTGTGTGTGTGTGTGTGTGTGTGTTTAATACACAAAGGTACGACAGGGTGTACATCCCAGGTGACGGTGACATATCCTTATTTGTTTGTTCTCTTTCCTGCTTTTGTGTGTCTTGTGCTATCTTGGAAATATGTGGAGGAATACATCTGAGCGAAGAGGCCTGGTCGCTGAGGTGTGACGCTCCATATCACCCCCCCTTACATCATATACATCCTCAAAAACAACATTAATATGGATTCATAAACACACATGTATGCTGTGTGTGTCGTACAGCAGACATCTGCTAAGCAGCATCACAGTTTGTGAGTTAATTGCTTTGCACAAGAAGACAGAAAAGATTTAGTTTGTCTTGTATTCTAGAAGAGACTAGTTTTATTTCTAGGATTTAGTGCAGACTGACTAGAGTTTGGATTACTTGCTAACTGTTTCGGGTTTGACACAAGAAGGTTTTCACACTCAAACTAATCACACAAACTAAAGCACCACGCAGATGCTTGAAGTCATGCGTTGAGCAACATGCTGTGAGTAAACTCTGTTCTGTGCTGCTGTTGTCGAGCAGACGGAGAGCAGCATGAGCATCCGTCCTCCTGAGAATCATATCTTTAACTTCTTACACTTGTTACTTGAACTCCAAGTAATAATAGATTTAAATCTTCAATTAGTTTGTATTTTATATGTTGTTGTTTCACTGTAGTTTGTTTTTGTGCGGGTCGGGTTTCATGTCTCAGAAGTAGCTACATGTACACATTTAAATGCATGTTTGGAGAACTAGAATCAGGAAGAACCCGATCTGATCTTAAAGATCAGCTGTTGATCCGATCCTTTTACATCAGCTGTCAAGATGTTCATGCACAGCAACACGAGTGCAGCCGTCGTCAACTCTCTGCTGTCCGTCTCTACTCCGCTCTGTATGTGGGTGAGCCCCCCCGACACCATAAACACAGTATGAGACTGTTTATTCATCTAATTTACCTAAACTGTGTGCACTTGTATTATTTCAGGTCAGTTTGAGAGTCTCTTGCTTTTTTGCCGTCATCCCGAGAGCATCGTGTTTGATGTTAATTCCTTGTAGGTTTGACACAACAAGTGACTCTTTAAAGTCACTTTCATAATATTTATACATGTTTAAGTGCTTTTTAACGGTTTAGGAACGCTGTAGCCGTTTTTTAATAGAAAGAAAAGGTTGATATTAGCGGATACTCAAGGTTATAGAATCACTATCCGTGTCAGAAATGGAAGAAGTGACATTAAGCCATTACTTATAGTGGTGTGTGTGTGTGTGTGTGTGTGTGTGTGTGTGTGTGTGTGTGTGTGCCAGTGCCATCAGCTCTCCTGTTGTATTAGTGTGACCTGGCCTCAGCAGCAGCAGCAACAGTAGTGGAGCGATAAAGAAACGATGTGTTGGGCGAATCTGAGTCTGGCTGCTTATGGTTTTGAGGCCTGCAGGAATAACACTGACAAAAAAAAAAAAGGCTCCACTCAGCAGTTTGTGTGTGTGTGTGTGTGGGTGTGTGTGTGTGTGTGTTGGTCATATGAGTTTGTAGCTGCCTGCTGAGTCTGTGTGTGTGTGTCTACATTTAAATGTATATGTTGCATGTGTTTAAATCTGTCCCTCAGGTGGGTTACAGCACACTCTCGTCTTTATTAATACCCCTTTACCCCTCCTCTTCCATCCATTCTGGCTCGGACCCCCCAAGCCCACCTTCCCACCTCCTCTCACCTCCTCCTCCTCCTCCTCCTCCTCCTCCCTCACTGGCTCTTATCTAAACTGTGGTGCTGGCAGACGGGACGGGCCACCGGCTGATAGCGATTGTTTATCCCACGGTGCGAAATTGCTGATCTGTCTTCTGCTTTTTCCCTGACAGCTAGATGTTCATCTCTCTCTCTCTCTCTCGCCCCACAGATACAGATATTGGCACCTATCAGTACTACGATAAAGGAGAGCCAGGTAAATAGTGTTTGTATTGGATGTCTGTTTGTGTTTAAGATAAGTTTGTCTTTTATTTGTTTTTTTGGGGACGTATGTGATTTCCTTATATATGAAGAAGGGCTTTACTCGGCCTCCCACGCAAACACACGGACACACAAACCATCGGTCCTGAGTATTTCAGGGTCTCACCACACTTAGAGGCTATTAGTATGTAGGATTTACACCCTAAAGCCGTATGCACATACCACACACACACACACACACACACACACAGGTTATTAGGCCTCCGTGGTTCTATCTCTTACTCTGACGGTGTTCCTGTTGACCCGGGGTCCTGACACACAGCGATAGGGGAAACTAAACTGTTGACTTTCTCCTGGATCACATAGCAAGAGGCCCCATGTAGTCCAGCCTCATATTGCCTCAGGCCTGGAGGCTTCTCTTTCCGACAGGAAGTGCTCAGATCACCACCCCCCCCAAACCCGCCCCCAGGGAAGAGCCGTCTCTTCCCTGGAAGATTTATAAAATTGACACAGTGCTGCTCGAGGACGGTTGCGACATGTTCGTCTTCATCTGCGTGAAGCATCTTTAAAAACTAGATTCAGCTGACTGATTTGTACCAACTTCTGGAAAGTCATTCACAATTATGCTGACTCGTCACTCCAAAAATTACAGCTCAAAATAAGGTGACTAAATCTTTGTCCAAAATGTCCAAATGTATGTAATAAATTAGATGCATGAGTAGTTTTTAAAAATGAAAATATATATTAGAGTTTATAAAGTGGATATAAAATGTCTTCCGTCACAATTATATATTTAAAGTAATTTTACATGTATGATTTCTTTCTTTGTATATTAATAAGTTATAAATATCCCTCATATTGTGCACCTATTCCATAATATATGGAATAACAAACAAGAATTATTTTTTTCCTTCAAAACAAAATGTAACGTGTGTTTACGTAAGCTAGTTCCAAACAATTATAACCAATAATATCATGACATCCATCTATCAATCAATCTGCAACTTTGAGCTACTTTTGGTACGAGGTGTGTGTGGAGCAACAGTCCTTTGTAGCTCCGTCACATGACGTTCAAAGCCCGCCCACTTCTTAGCAGTCCAATCAAATACAAAGGATTTGTTTGACATTCCTCTTGTAACTGTACTCAGCTCAAGTATTCCGTTGCACTGGGGAATACATCCCAATACAGAAGCTAAAGACACTCTTATTTCAGTTTCACTGGCACTTTAACATTTATTGAAACTTGCATTAATAAAAATTAAAAAAGATTAAATTAAATTAAATTAAATATATATGTATATATATATATATATATATATATATACGTGTATGTATGTATATATATACGTGTATGTATGTGTATATATACGTGTATGTATGTGCGT